AAAATTTGTTTAAAAATGTTGGCCGGCCGGGTATATTTTATGTTACTATTATCGTATTGTTTTGATAATTCTCATAACGTTGTACACATTAAATTTATCTCTAAGTTAATATTACAATTTTATTTTATAAAAAATTTTATAAAAAATTATAAAATTAATTCATTTTAATGTTGCTTAAAGTTCGATATGGGAGATAGCGATGATAATATTGATGAAGGTATTTCTCAAACTAATCAAAATGAGCTCGTAATGTACAGTATTTGAAACATATTATTATTATTTCACTTTTTTTAAATTTTAAAATTAACGTTAAATATTTAATTCTGACGAACGGATTGTCTATTTTATTTTCTTGTTTTAGGGTTACAAAGAAAGACGTGAACAAGCAAAATCAAACAAACCTCATTATTGCTCGAATAAATGGAACTACACCATTAATTCGTACTACAAACACTCCAAATATAAACACTTTTGATGGACAATGGCCATCAGTTCTCAATCATTTTAAAAAGAAAAAGGACCAGACTCAACATGATTTGGAATGGGAAGAATTGTTTTTAAGAATCAATCATTCTTTAGTGATACATATGAATACTGTAAAAATATCAGAAGAAAAAGAAAGAAAGAAGAAGATTAATGAATTAATCAAAAATGCAATTCCTACATATTACGAAACTAAAAAATGTAATGGAAATGAGTTTTCACGATGGAAGAAATTTCATCAATTAATTGTTTTATTATTCGAAAAATCAGCATTAAAAAAGATTCCAGTTGATTTTGCAATTCAACAATTAAACGGTTTGGGATTAACAGTTAATTATCTGTATTTTGTTAGCGAAGACGCGTTTAAGAAATTTTTAGAACATTTTATGAATTATTGTGTTCAACGTTATGAGAATTATCAAAACAATACGTTAATTGTAACTTAAAATATACCCGGCCGGCCAACTTTTTTAAACAAATTTTATAAAATTTCTTTAAAACTCCATCCGGTTATTAAACGTATAAAAAATTTTTTTACAAGTCGAAATTTGGCCTGGTCGGGTTATGAAACCCTATAAAAACTATTTATATAGAAAATATATAGAAAAAATATAGTTGCAGTTTTGGCACATTTTCTATATATAGTTGCAGTTTTGGCATATTTTCTATATATTTACTAGATATTTTCTATATATTTTTTATATAAATAAATTAAACCGTTCTGTTTTTGCAACATTTTGGTATATTTTCAGTATATTTTCGGTATTTACTGTATAATTTTTTTTTTTATTGGGAAAACCAATTAATTTTGCATAATACCTTTTTTATTGAGCAATTATACTTTTGTGTAAATGAGTTTGGACTTAACAATTTCAGGAAATTAAGGCAATATACTAGAATCAAAACAAACTAAACGTAAGAAAAGGTAGTCGCCAAAAATGATTTAAACAATAACTTATTTTTATTCGCTTAAGAAAAAGATATAGATGTAGATTTGAAAGTAAAATATGTTTGAATAAATTCAATTTCAAGATTTTTTTACAAATAAAAGTATGAATCCGGAACATCTTTATAAACAGTATATAGTTGGTTTCATATTATCCGGTCGTTAATATAAGTAACAGTGTAACTTCGATCCATATGTGTTAAAGTAAAAATGGGATTACTCGGTAAACATTAATATTTTGTCTTTAACTCAGTTTTGAAAGCGTGAATACTCGCGATCTATAACTGAATTCAATTAATGCGTTTTTTTGTGTCTGAAAATGTGAAATTGTAAAAGTATGTCTCAATGGCGCACGAAAAAAATTCTGTGCCAGGTTTTGTCGATCATTGTGACGCAGTCAAAATTTTTAAAGCTCAAAATGTTAGGTTTTATTTAGAATTAGGTTTAAGATTAGGAGATTAGATAGTAAAATCGCTCAAGGAAAAATTTTTTTAGAACACTAAAGGTGGTTTTTTATACAGATTTTGCGATTTTGGGCAAAACGAACATTTGTTTGATCGTATTACTTTTCATGAAATCTTTATGGATTTGCGCCACAATGATCGACAAAACCTGGCACCGAATTTTTTCGTGCCTCAATGGCAAAAGCTTTGAGCCTGACGGTATAATTTTTTTAATAAACGCTCTAAAAAAGCTCGTTCATGATTGTGAAACGCTCTAAAAAAAGCTTCTTGTATCACGAAATTGATCGCGTTTTATACGTATTGACTACTGTTTTATGCTCTTGCTCTTCAACTTATAGAGCTCAGGTAGCTCAGTGAAGAGAAAAATAGTTAACTGAACTTGGTAAATTTTATACATTTGGTGCTGATTTGTTAACAAAAATTATTAGTTTAATATAAATTCTGAGACAAGATTTTGTTATTTTTTGATTTTTTAATTTTTTACTTTCG